AATATATAAACCTAACATCTAGATACCCGTGCTTCGCTACGGTATTTAGTTTATCAGATGATAAGCTCACATTGTAGTTTATAGGCTGTACCAGCACTACTCTCAAGCTACTCGGACTAACAGCTCCGCTGTTGCCCTCGTGGCTGGTGAGCTGATTATCCTAACTACTTAATCTACTTAAACTCTAATACTGATTTTTGTTGAGTTTCAGGTGAGCAATTTGGTGAATTAGATAATTTTTGCCAATTCTCACCCACTCACCCAAATAAATTAAACTTATCAGACTTGATTAGCTTCAGATGAGCAAATTGGTAAATTATTAGATAATATTCGCCAATTCTCACCAACTCGCCCAAATAGATTGAACCTATCATACTCGATAGTTTCAGATTTGATCTTATTTGCCAATTCTCACCCACTCACCCAAATAGATTAAACTTATCAGACTCGATTAGCTTCAGGTGAGCAATTTGGTGAATTATTCAATGATATTTGTCAACCTTCACCCACTCGCCCAAATAGTTTGAACCCATCAGGCTCGATAATTTCAGATTCGATATGATTCGCCAATTCTCACCCACTCACCCAAATAGATTGACCCTATTAGACTCGAAGGTTTCAGATGTCAGTCAGTGAGTCAGTAAGTCAGTCAGTCAGTGAATGTGTTTTATTAAGTAGATATATTAACATGATAATAATTTGTTATATAGTAAATATTAGTTATATAGAAAACATGACAACATTTGCGCAAAAGAAACATAGTAAGTCAGTAACCATAATAATGTTGCATTTAGCTGGCGGCTGAAAGATATTATCATGCTCTTAAGCTTTTACCATTTGGTAAACGGTACTTCCAATTTTTCTTTCAAAAAGCTTTAGATTTAACTAATAGTCATATGACAAATTAAAATTGCACCCTTTAAATTTTTATAGCGGAACCTGTCTAAATATGCTATCAATTAAAATAAGCAAAGCAGTTAAATCTCTATAATGAGGGTTCAAGACAAACTATCCTGATACCGATTTGATTTGGATGGTTATGCCATCTGAATGAACAACGGAACCACTCAAATTTCAAACCTGTCGAATGGAATTATGGAGTGACGTCTAAACTCGACGCCAAAATTTCACGCAACCAATAAAAGGTCGATTAGATGGCGTATGAGGTTTTTATGAAAAATAAAACCAAAGGTGGTAGCCCACCATAGGGTATGGCTTATTTATCGGAGCATGGATGAGTGCGTATAATAATAATGGCGTAAATTAAGCTTAAGAAATTGTTCTTTTCATCTCCTAGCTTATGAGTAACACAACTTCAAAAACCTTTCAGTTTCAGGATGAGCTTCCACGCCTCCCCATCCCTCCTCTTGAGGAAACTGCCGCCAAGTATTTGAAATCGCTGCTGCCCTTTATCCAGGGGAAGGTCCTTTCAGCAACAGAAGGCAAAGTGATTGATTTTTTGAAACCGGGTGGCCTGGGCGAGCTCCTACAGAGGAGGCTCAAGGAGCATGACAAGAATCAGGAAAACTCTTGGCTTGAGGGGTGGTGGCTAGAGTATGCCTATCATAGATACCGAGAGCCCACTTTGATTAACGTCAACTGGTATTGCCTTGCCAGAGATGACCCAAGCACTCCCAAGCCATTCGAAGCTGACTCCTTGGCTCCTTTTAGCCAGTTTCAAATAAAGCGTGCGGCGCATCTTATCAACCGGTTCCTTATCTACTGGCGAGACGTCGAAGAGTAAAGCTATCGCTTATGACTCATTTAGCTTTTAGGGAGAAGATCGCCCCTGAATTTGTTGGCAAGTCGCCGATCTGCATGAACCAATACCGGTGTATGTTCGGGGTGACCCGTATCCCCCAGTTGGAGTGCGACAGGATCAGCGCCACGTTCCCCGTCTCTTCTGACCATATCACGGTGTTTGTAAAGAACCACCCTTACCAAGTTCCGGTGTATGAGCGAGCTTCCGGGATGATCCATTCTCCTCCCGAGATAGAAAGGTAAGCCTCTGGTTACCCACTATAATGATTTAGGCAATTGCTGGAGGTCATTAAGGACGCTTCGAGCGCTCCCAAAAGCGAAGGGATTTGTTTGCTGACGGCTGGGAAGCGGGATACCTGGTCTATGGTAAGGGTAGTCGATTGGTCGTTCATTGTGTTTCAGGCCCGAAATAAGCTCATCGAACTCTCTGCCGAGAACGCCGAAGCTTTAAAAACGGTTGAGGATAGCATCTTTGTCGTTTCGCTTGACGATCATGTCGTCAGTGATGACCTCGAATCGAAAAAGAACAATCTATTTCATGGGCAAGGTGCAAATAACCGCTGGTTAGATGCGGCGCTTTCTTTGATCGTTGATCCGAGCGGCTGCGCGGGATTGAATGGCGAACATTCCCCCTTAGATGCTCTAGTAGCGGCCTCAGTCCTGGAGGCGAGCCTTAAGGACCCAGTTGGGGAGGGATCCACCTCCTCGGCCGGAATTCCACAGCCCATCGAAAGAATAGTTTTTAAAACCAGCCAAGATATCCTGACTTTGATCGAAGAGGCGAAGGAGGCTATTGACAAGACTATTGCCAATAGCGATTCCTTTGTCCTCGCCTATACAACCTATGGCGTAGATTTTATCAAGAAGACAGGTATTTGGTTTTATTTTACAATCTGTATTTGACGGTGCAGCTAAAACTAGCCCGGACGCCTATCTCCAGATGGCCATTCAGCTTGCGTACTTCAAACTTTATGGGAAGTGCGTCTCCACATATGAATCCGGGAGCACGCGTAAATTCAAGCACGGGCGGACCGATGTCATCCGCACCTTGAGTTGCGAGTCTCTAGCCTTCTGTAAGGCGATGTCCGATGAGACCAAAACTGTATGTATCTTGTAATTCTTATCTGATCCTCCATTTAGGCTTCCAGCCGTTACCAAGCTTTACAAGAGGCGGCCAAAGCGCATCTTCGGTACGCCTCGGAAGTCTCGCAGGGTAAAGGAATTGACAGGCACTTCCTCGGGCTTCGGCTTTGCCTCAAGCCCGGGGAAACCCATCCGATTTTTCAGGATCCAATCTTTGCCGAGAGCCAAAGTTGGAAGCTGAGCACCAGCACCATGTTCAAAACGGATAACATCCTAGGTATCTATCAGCTTAATAGTTTAATAAGCTACCTTAGCCACTGGGTTTGGTGCAGTTGATCCCGATGGGTACGGCATCAATTATCTTCCCTCCGCCGATGGGAGCAGAATCACCTTTGGTATCGAATCCAAGCGCAATAGCAAAGTCGCCGACACTGGGAAGTTTGCTGCCAGCCTTCAAGAGGCGTTGGATTCGATGCGTGCGATGTGCGAGAGGGCCGAACCTTCCATGGCGTTTCAGAAGCCTAGCCTTTAATTTTTTGTACAATTTGGCGTCCCCAATTTTATATCCATATTTAATGGTAATCTTCCGAATCAAATTATTATATTCCCATCTATTAAAAAATCCTCGTATGGGATGAAGCTAAAGGTTCATATTGTAAAGTTTTGATATCTGTATCTGAGTCACCTGACCAAGTCAACCCATAACTTTGGATTGTACTTAAATAGTCGTTTGGCAAAGTATGCAACAGACAGTTTGCTTGCTATTTTGCTTGCGAAGGTATATTGTTCGAGCAGCCTCAACCTTAGGATCCATATACATCACAGCCTATTAGAGCAGCCGAGTAAAAAAGCTTGAGTAAAAATCTACTTTATTTCCATTGAATCATGGTAGGCCAAAGCCTACCCTGGCGTAGCAGAGGGGTGGAAACATTATACAGGCAAATTACTTTATTTGTATTCATAGTGGCATTCGATTAGGTCCAGCTGATATTAGTATTGGGATATTAACGGGAGGCAGATTGAGGGTTGAGAGAAGTTCCAATTGAATTTTCAGTAGCCATTCAAGTTCAATATCTATTGTCATACTAAGCTTAGGTTTATACCTACCTTCCTTTAACTGATCATGCCACTATGCTATAAAGTAACCTTGGATTCATATTGAGTGGAGCCTAGCTAGACATTATAATTTGAGACCTTTTATTTTAGTCTGAAATTTTTTAAATGAGTGGTGGGTGAGTCATCAAAGGATAAGAATAAAGTATGGTACTAGATGATCTAACATAAAGGCCTCATACTAAAATTGGTGACAAATTCTAGCATCATGCTATTTTGAACCTATGGAAATATAGTGATGGGAACTTCCACGCTAAGCTAACTGATCCAAGATAAAAAGCTTAATCATTATCAAATGGTTAAGCTGTCCATTTATGATAGTAGCTAACAATATGCCTTATAAGCTTTATAGCTGCCTAAAGATTATTTTGTTGATATCAGATTTATTTGTACCATTGATTATACTTCATACATAAAAATCTTCCCAAAGCTATCTAGATAAATATGTCTCTTGAGAGATCTTGTTTGCTTAATTTCAGAAACTATCAAGCCAATCCCCTTGAACCTTTGCATGCTCATAGTAGGTACTCAATGGATGGCTTTCCACTTATTTGGGCACAATAGGTTGATATAGATAAGGTGATCACAGACTCATTTTAAACCTGTGGCTACACATGCAAGTACTTCAAGTATTATTCAATGAGCATCAGAGTTAGAGTATCTGTACTTTATTTAATTTTATGATATTGGTAAGCAATTTTATATTTTTGGTAAGTAATCTATACAATATATATTGTATAAATTACTGATTTTTTCTTCTCTTTTTAAAAAGATTCAGCAGTAGCAGGAACCACCCTGTATGACAACTATCCAAATCTTCCTTTTTAACTCCATATCATTAATTAATTAATTAATTAATTAATGAATGATAAGAGGGGATAGAGGAAATTATATTCATCCTAGCCAGAACAGGTTTTGAACCTGTTATAGCATTTTTACCTCACCTTAGCTTGTGGTTACAGGTGTATGCAACTACACCCGGTGTATAAATTACTGATTGACCCTAGATATTTATGACTCTAGAAAGTTAAATCAAAAAAATGTCCCTTGTGGTCCAGTGGATAGGATTCTATGCTCTCACCGTGGCAGCCAGGGTTCGATTCCCTGCAAGGGAGTGAAGCTAGTTTTCACCACCTAAGTATTATTATTTTATGGTACTCAAATATTAATAGTTATAACCATCTAGCACTAAGATATAGACAAATAAGTATACTATCAATTTTTAGCTCCACATTGCAAAAAAATCATCTGTGAAGATCTACTACTGCTGCAAAAAGATCAACATACCTTGCACTATCTAAGAATTATATTGAAGTTATTAAAATGCAATCAGCTCCTAGACTCTTTAAAATGATCTAGATTGGGAAATTATGGTAAAAAAAATTCAAAGTATAAAAGTATATCAGTAGCACAAAGATGAAGGCAAGTTACTCTTAGATCATAAGCTTCTGCTTATATACTAGGATATGGGATTGAGTTTTTGTTTCAATCATACATTTAACTATCAACCATATAGGTGAAAATTTATTGGTTTATAGAGTCTAGTTTGCCCATGATATAAAGCTTTAAAGTGGAAAATGAATCATATGGGTTACGTTGCTCTGCAGTAAAGGGGACTTTTAGACCTATACTTCCTCCTCCCAAACTGTTAATATCTTATTTGATGTGGCCTGATATGGGATAATACCATACTGATGGGGAAATCAAAATGAAGGGAATGGTGATTAAATATGGAAAACCTCCAGAAGTGGTATTCTAATAGACCACAAACTTTATGAACTGCCTTGATATCTATTATCTCAGTTCAGGGTATTGTTGTACAAATCCAATATATCATCAATTCCACCTACTAAGTTCACTTACTATGAATTGTGGATGTAATTGTCAGGATTTTGGCTCAAAGTAAGGATTCAAGTAAATCTGATGATAGGATTCAAACCTGATTTAAAGATTTAGTTAAAAGTAAGATTGGGGATAATCACTGACTAAATTTATCAAAGCCTCCCTAATATTGGGTTTCAAACCTGGCCATGTAATAGGATGTTGTTCAACAGAAACCTCCTAATATTGGGGTCAAAATTTGATCTATGAAATCAAATACTGTTTGATGGAAGTAACTAGAATGTTGTAGAATCTCTGATTTCAGCTTAGTATAGACCTTAGTTTAAAATGCTTGGAAATTTTTCCTAAGAATACTTTCCCTAATATCCTATAAAAGTTTGTTTGAGAGAAAATTAAACTGTACATTATTTTTGCAGTTTATTTTAGCTTTCCACTGTTTAATTAATGAGTATATTTTCTGGATATGCCACTCAAGGATATTTTACCTTAAGTAAAGAATTTTTATGTATACTAAACCTATTCAAGTATCCATCACCTGGGGCTTCAGTTGCCATGAATTTTTAAAGGGGACAGCTTGGTCCAATCCCCTCATCCTGACAGTAATCGTCATCAATCCCAAACTCTACCACTGGATTTCTCTCACCTTTCTAAAACTATTAAAATAGGTAATAGATGGGAAGTTTATTTATCTAACTTTTTTAGACTTTATTATTATACAATTCAGCTTTTTAATCTATTATATTTGAGACTAATAAAATGGCTAAAGAAAACTTCATGTCTATTTTTAAAAATTCAAGTTTAAATATACCAACTCATCAATTTATTACTTCCCAAACAATTTAAGGTCATAAAAAATAAATATGATCTATTACTGTTTAAGCCAGCTATAGATAATATGTATGAAAAACACCTGTTGAATTTTTTTTAACTTATATTAACAAACTTTGTGTATACTTCATGAAATGATTATAGGTTAATGGCTGAAAAGTGAGTTTGAACTTATAACCTCTGCAAATAATAGTCATTATGATATTGTGATTCATGCTGATCAAAAAGAAGGTAGCAAATTGCAATGGGGGGTGCTACAATATATCAGCAACTGGTGAGGTGTCAATAGTTTTAGTTAACCAGTGATGTAATACATGTTAATTAGTTTTTTGTGGGGGATTATAGGCTACATCAGATTGCAGCAACCTATTAAACTTATATTTGTACTTTAGTACTTTGCATAAGAGAGGATGGTTATCATTCTACCTAAAATTAAGCAATTTTAAAATATAAACAAACTGAAGAAATATTAGCTTTATAATCTTTTAATGAATCATTATGAGAAAAATTAAGTATAATCATTAACCTAACTGTCACAGATTAGGCTACAACTGGTATATGGTCATTCCTTGACCAGTGGAATAATGAAGATAACCTCCAGAATGGTGGCAGTACTGATGACCAGGTCACAATGGATGGGGGAGAAAGAGGCCCTTTTATAGGTGAAGATGGGTTTCAGACAATTGCCATCTTGACTTTGGAAAAAGAATGTCTTGGATAAGAATAGTCCCAATTTAGCAGATATGATTGGCCAATTACAAGTCCAAACTCAAAATAATAAAACTTTAGATGAAACTAAAGACAATATTGGCCAAAAGACCCTGGTCAATTCTCAGTGGAACCAATGAATTGAGGTAACAATTTCATAATAAAATACATGCAAATAATTCTAAGTCGAGCAGTCAGATTGTACTGAC